TTTCAAATGCCGGAAGTTACTCAAAAAACCATTCAGCCCCGCTTCTCGCGTTGAATGCAGATAAAGTTGATCTTTTTTTGTTCAATGGAAAAATGACACCTATTTGATCTTTGTGATAATTGTTAGTTTATAATCCTGTTCAAATGATACAAAAAATGTTATTTATTAATTTTAAAAAAAAAGGTATTTAAAATTAAAGAAGTGAATTCTGTCTAGCATTTATTATTTCTTTTTCTAGGAAATGGTTTCTTAACATACAGAAATTTAAAATAAACGACCACAAAAAATAATTGCGTAGCTGTCTTGTGTGTTTAATGGAAGGGGGATCACTCTGGAAACTTGACAAAGGGAGATAAATCAATACACAAAATTGAAACCTGTTTTGGAGAGATTTTTAGAGAGCAGGAACGCAATCCTATTCATGTAGTTTAGGGCATCGGTAAATTAGACAAATGGGGTGTGATGTCTATAGGGCGCAGGTAAATTAGACAAATGGGGTGTATCGTGTGCTTAGGGCGCCGGTAAATTAGACACATGGGGTGTATCATGTGCTTAGGGCGTCGGTAAATTTAAAACAATGGGGTGTATCGTGTGCTTAGGGCGCCGGTAAATTAGACAAATGGGGTGTATCGTGTGCTTAGGGCGCCGGTAAATTAGACAAATGGGGTGTATCGTGCCTACAGGGCGCCGGTAAATTAGACCAATGGAGTGTATCGTGTAAGTGTGAAGGAAACCGGTAAATTAGACAAATGGAGTGTATCGTGCCAATAGGGCGCCGGATCAGACTATTGTGGCGAATCATGGACTGGTGCTGGTCCACCCGGGCTAATTGCTGGCGTTAATCCGTGTTGTAACAGGAGACCGCGAGCAGGAAGCTTCGATTGGTTCCAGTCTTTGAAGTCGTTTTATCGCCAGCAATCTATCCAATGTTTCACCTCCGTTTTTTTAATGTGTTTGTGTTGTTTGTGTTGCGAGGCTGTTCGTTACTTTACGTTCAACGTGCAGAGGCAAAAAAAAAAAAAAAAAAAAAAAAAAAAAAAAACATGGGATTGATTTTATTCAGTACAGTACAAAGAACTCTAAAAATAAGTTTTTTTTCGTTTTTGTTGTTGTAAAATTGATTAAGCCTCCTCGCAAATGTCTTGGTTTCAAATCGGAAAATAAAGCCGTTAAATATTTTGTAACATTTATGCCACAAAATAAAAACCAAGTATATATTACTAGACCGAAACCCATTACTAGAGAATATTTACGACCCTTCAATGTTTCTCTACAACAAAAATGTTCTCTGATCTCGATTTGCTTATGTCCCTACATGAACGCTTCCATTCAAAGTCCCATAACTCTGAGATCCTATGACCCTTTGTTCCCTTGTAGACATTCAACATTCCATGAAAACGCCGCCATGCCCGACTCGATACAAGAGCATAATCGCGTGAACTATTGACACTAATCCACATTCTGTACACCCAGGTATGCAACTCTCCATACCCTAAACCCTGAACAAAAAATCACAAACCTTTTTTTTTCTATAAGCTACAAATCTAAATATAGATTAGTGGGCAATTACCCGGATAATCCTCAGCCCCCCCCCCCCCCCTTCCCCTCTCCCACACCCGGCTACACATTCTTGTCTTTGTGTTGCGGCCTATAACCCAGGCAGATAGTGTTTTCCCCCACCTGAAATCACGAGAGAAAGGTGTTGTGGAGCCTAGCACAAGAAACCAGCACCGCTTGTTCACTTCTTTCTATTCAACAAGGGTTATTGACTGTAAGGGGAGAGAAGAAAAAAAAACTGACTCCAAGGGCCATAAGCCGTTCTTTATGTTACTTCCCCTACCCTTTTTTTTTGTAGTGGATTCGTCTGGTTTTTTTTTTAAACTCTTCTAGTATCAGACTGAAGATCTGCTTCAGATCTCAAGAGCAAATATCAGGGCGTGAAGAAAGATCAGCGAGGCTCTTTTTGTATTGGTAACTGCGGATATGAAGTTAGCGTTCATTGATCGAGTTCAATAGGTGTTGTGCTTGTTGGGGGTCGGTGAATGAGGGATGGGGGCACCGTAGGGGGTTGTTTGTACGGCTTGTAGCGTACGGTGTCTGGTTAATATAGTCCAGGTAGAGGGGTTTGTCGTGGTGGCAGCACACTCGATGGGGGCGGGGGGGGGGGGGGGGGGAGGGGTGTTCAGCTTGGCGAGGCGTACAAAGCGAACATGGGGCTAAATGTCGTGGGATATAATGTCGTGGGACTAAATGTCGTGGGATATAATGTTGTGGGACATAATGTCGTGGGATATTATGTCGTGGGATATAATGTCGTGGGATATAATGTCGTGGGATATAATGTCGTGGGACATAATGTCGTGGGATATAATGTCGTGGGATATAATGTCGTGGGATATTATGTCGTGGGATATAATGTCGTGGGATATAATGTCGTGGGATATAATGTCGTGGGATATTATGTCGTGGGATATAATGTCGTGGTATATAATGTCGTGGGATATAATGTCGTGAGGCTAAATGTCGTGGGACCAACGTGTGGCTAAATGCCGTGGGACATTATGTCCTATGGGTAAATGTCGTGGGATATAATGTCGTGAGACATAATGTCGTGGGCATTATGTCGAATGTGTATGTTTTGTGCGCCGGGTTAATATAAAAGCGATGTGTACAACATATAGATTGTCGGCGGGTGATTATGTTGATATGAATGGGTGGGGGGGGGGTTGAGAGGGTCTTATTCAAAAACTTATACAAGACAATTAGGAAAGGAGTGGAGTTACTTGTAACTGTACATGGGGCAAGTGAAGTAGAGTTTACCTGTTTCTGTGACCTCAGCATATGAAGGGATAGTGTGGTCAGCAGTACTGTGGTCAGCAGTACTATGCCCAGCTGCCTTTAATTTTCCCTAACGTGTGTCAGGTAGCCATTAGAGCAAAGTTTCTTCCAGGCATCTTTCTTTCAGAAAGACAATTTTGCATTCGATACTCCCCTCCTCTTCCACACACACAAAGCCCCAAAATTCATTATTTTGATTAGCCTTCTACACAATCTTACAGAACACATCATCAGAAGCGCTCTTTTCCTTCCCTTCAAAACAACAAAAGAATAGTGTCTGTGTTATTGATAGTTAAACCGACTGTTCTGTGTAACTTTTTTTTTTACCCAAGACACAACACCTTTTTTTTTGTGTGTACACAAAATAGTGTTCAAAGAGAGGTAATCATGAAAACGTTTTTGTAAAATTTCAAATAGAGTTACGTCTCTTGCAGAGAGTCCAGTCTTAGTTCACTAATAAAATCTCCCACCTTTCTGTAAACATGTGGTAGAGGGAGCTAAACACATGTAAACAAATGCAGCTCACAGCCTACACAGCAGGCCTACAAAGACAATTTACAATCGTGTAATATTTATATTGAATTAATAAATGATTTTTTAAAAAAACTTTATTCAATTCAGTAGAAAAATAAAACATACAAAAGAATTTTTTTTAAAAACATCCCGGCAAACTAAGTAGATTTTTGTAAAATCAATTCAAACTACAAAATTTGAAAGACAAAGTGCTGAATTACATTGACAAACTGATCCAAATGTTCCTTGAGATATTCATTTAAACTAATTCTAGGCCTAAATTGCAGGCTTAAAAATAAAAATTAGCATCCATATGTGATAAAAACTGTTTTCTTTTACATAAAATAAACCTGTTATTTAGTTTAATTATTATGAAATTAATACTAACAAATAAAAAAATCTAAGAAATAGAAAAATAGTAGGCTAACATTATTAGCTGCGCCTTACATTATAAAATAATTAGAAAGCCTTATGATATTTTTTAAAAGAACAGAAATTTTAATGAAGAAATGCAATTATATTTTTTAAATAAAGCAAGTAGCCTACAAAAGCTTTAAAAAAAGGACATTTTATAAGAAAAAAAACATAATATTAATTTATTTTGCCAGAAAAAATTTTAAGGCTACGCACTGCTGTAGAAGCTAACACTTCAAGTGTGATATTTGAAAGCATTTGTCCACATTCAAACTTTTTAAAAACTTCCTGGCATCATCAACAAAATTGTAAACTCAGACAATATTTTGTATACCCAGAACTTGGCAAATAAATTGTAAACTTATACAATACTTTGTATACTCAGAACTTGACAAATAAATTGTAAACTCATACAAAACTTTGTATACTCAGAACTTGACAAATAAATTGTAAACTCATACAAAACTTTGTATACTCAGAACTTGACAAATAAATTGTAAACTCATACAAAACTTTGTATACTCAGAACTTGACAAATAAATTGGAAACTGAAAGTCTTGATAGCTAGGGACAGCCACTCATCTAGGAGAGACAACTCAATGGCATATAAGGCACATAACAAGTTGACACATAATATACTTAATTGTGTTTGAGCCTGGTAGCAATCTCTTCTGACAATAAAACTACAAACGAAGATGAAGAAGAAGGGCTCTATTATGAACAGATTTTTTTTCCAAAGGGCTAGTAAATAATTTTTTTATTCAATCCACTAAAATTAACATTGATTGTAAAAATATTTGTAAGAAATAAACTCCTGTATTCAAGATAATACCAAATGGTACCAATGAACTTTGACTGCCAGAAGTATTGCTAGCGTCATGATAAGTGTTTTGGTAAATGTAAGGGCCAAAGATGAAGTCATGATTTAGGGTCTTGGTTTAGAAATAGTTTAGATAGTGAGAGTAACAAAACATAATAGCATTAAAGTCATGATTTAGGGTCTTGGTTTAGATAGTGAGAGTAACAAAACATATTAGCATTAAATATGTACTGTTGACAATAAGCCCCTATTAAAGCAGTATTAGCTTTGTTAAAATTTAGTATCAGACACATGTTGTATGTACTTGACAGGTGACATGACAGGGTGTACAGCTCCATAACATTACAGGAACGTGTAGCGCCATGACATATGTCACATGAGATAACGGTTAGAAGTAACATCAGTCACATTTTTAACTTTAACTGCTTTTAGCTCCAGGTGACTGTAAATGTTCTCAACAAATCCACATCCAGACCAGTAATATTTAACACCTGAAGGAAAATAATCCAGGTAAATGTTTACGTTTTTGGTAATGTGAGACAAATAAGTATGTATGTAACCACTTGTATTTTAAATTAAGCTTAACACACTTTTCATGAGAAGCAAGTATTAATTTATTGTAGTCTCATGTTTTAACTTTATTATTTACTTCAAGGTTATGTAAATTTTTAAAATTTGTAGTCAATAATAGAAAATTTTCAAGATTAGTTCTATTAGTTCAAATTATTAAATATAGTTTAATTAGAAGCTTAACCTATATGTGCAATAATTTATGTATCAATTCTATCATCATATTATCAAACACTTGGCTAGAAAAATGTGGGTGTGTGGTGGTGGGGGGGGGGGGGGTGAGTCATTAGTTGAAATGAATATTGAACATTTTTTTTTTCAAAGTAGGGGACGGAGTGGTCTAGCGGTGGAGAGCTGGACTACTAACCAGTGTCTCAAGTTTGAATCTGGGTTCAATTCAGTAGACTGTCCCTGAGTCCACCCAACTCTGATGGGTACCTAACTCATGTTAGGGAAAGTAAAATCGGCTGGGCATACTGCTGACCACACTATCTCTGCATATGCCAAGGTCACAGAAACAAGTGAACTCTACTTCACTTGCCCCATAGACCGTCAGGTTTGAAAGGGAACTTTACTTACTTACTTCTTTTCAAAGTACAAAAATCAAAATTAAAATCAATCAATAGGCTTTTAAAATATGTGTTGCAATTATGATATATCATAAATGATTTTTGTTTTTAAATTACTAGGTGATTAAAATAAAGGAACATATGATTAGTGTGTTAAATATTTTAATAACCTAATGCACCAACCTTAGAGTCTGAGTTGTAAGAAAATGTAGCAGAGTTTCCATTGACTGAAACAGCAGATGGAGCTTGAGAGACACCATAGACAACAACATCACTCATCTTTACACCTTGTGGTGGGTTATAGCTTGCCTGAGCTACTCGACTCATTAGAGTGTTCTGGCAAAAGAGAAATAATTTTTAAAAATTTAAAGTTTGTTATTTTATGTTAGGTTGCTGAAGAGTAGATATGAAGTTATGTTGTTAAAATCAAATCTTAACAACCAGCAATCTGAATTTAAACTCCACAGTATAAAAATTAAAAGTAGGATTGATCATTAAATTTGTGTCAGATAGTCAAGAATCATCAACATTACTAATAGGATAACAAATTGTCCCCTTTTTATAGTTTATGTAACAAAAAAATTTCATCCAATATCCCACTTTTTAATGCATTCAAAATTTTGGTCTCAGCTTACCTTGTTATTCATATAGAAATAAATCTGTGAGAACTTCCTGGCTGATATACTGTCTGTATAAAAACAAGTTAATTAAAAAGTCTAGTGACATTTAAGCGCAATTTCCTTATGTTATCTAAAAATAGCTCTGTCGTAGCGTAAATCAAGAGCAGGGTTAGTAAAACCATTGATTAAAATACATGTTTTATTTACAATAGAGTTACATGACTAAAAACCATTGCGCGCCTAGCTACTGAACGTGATGACGCAGCCATTGAACGTGATGGCGCAGCTATTGAACGTAATGACGCGTGTGGTGTGGTTGGATAAAAATGCCTACTAATTCGGTCCAAATTTTAATTAATTCAAAAAAAATTTTGTGACCGAACGAAAGGATATTTTTGAAAACTTTCTTCGGCAATATTGTTCTAAATTATGGCAGGAATCGATTGGTACATGTTTCAAGTCGCTAAGTGGTCTGGTTGCCGAGATATGGGCCAAAAACTGCATTTTTTCGAGGTTTTTTGGCTTTTCCGGGAAATCCATGAAAGAAACCCGGAATTTATATGGCCTATGTTCATCCTCGTAACTTGCTTAACATAATTGCTTTTGGAACTAGTCCTCGATATTGCTTCGTTGAGGAGGAGATATGACTTAAAGCTGCAGACACACATTCATACATTCATCCATCCATCCATTCATCCATCCAGAAATGACGGGTTAATAAACGCAATTCTCCAGAATGGAAATTGCGCTAAAAATTTATATAAATATTTATTGATTTATTGTATAAACAAAATACCATGGTTTCTTCTTAAAACAAAATAATTTCTTTTCTTCTGATGTTTAAGAAATTTAATACAGAGTAAAATATTTATCACAAACAGTTATGAAATCTCTGCCAGAGAGGTTGAGAACTTACCCAGACTTTCCCCATCATCCCAAAACAGTTCACCAGTGGCACCATTAGTGTCATTCAGTGCGACAAGAATTTTGAACTTTTGCTGTCGTCTAGTGAAAGTAAATAATTATTTTTAAAATCAAACATTAGTTCAAAATAAAGTCATAGAAGCTTTTGTTTAAATAAAAGTAACTGTATATAGTAGCTAAACACATTTTTGAACAAAGTGAAGACAAACATCCCATCTATTTATAGATTAAACTTACGCAACATCAGTACGCTCAGTGGCAGGTAGCAGCGGTATAATAGAGCCACCACGTAATAAAACGTTGATGTGATCAAGCGTAGCATTAAGTTGGATGTATGTTCCTCTTGCTGTGATGGGGGTACCAACATAAAAATCATACCAACTGTCATTTGGAATGTAGGCAGTCACTGTGGTTTGTTTCTGAATATTTTTTTTTTTTTAATTTTTTATGATTAATAGAAAGCTTTATTGAGGCATCTCATTACACACTTAATTTTATTGAAATATTTTTCTAACATATTTTTGACAAATAGATTAGTAGTGTGTTAAATTGTTTTAAATACCTACATCAAACAAGACTGGTATGACCATAAGTGAATCACTCCACATAAACTGGCGGTCAATGGTTTCTACACCTTTGTACCTTAAAGAATAGGGCGCCGTAACAACTTAATCAGTAATAGCTAGTAAATTAATTATGTAATTTAAAATATTGCTTAAATCTTGTATCAACTGTAATTTATTAAATAACAAAGTATTGAGTACTCTAGAGTGTGAGTTTAGAATCTCTAAGAATGATATCTCACAAGTAAAACAGAGGTCTTATGACGGGGAGTCCTTCAGAGTGGGCTTTAAACATGGCAGTGTAGAGCACAGCCAGGAGAGTGTAACGCAGTTTGAGAGCATCACGAATGTAAGTTCTGTAGGGATCATCAAATGTACCAGGATCTTGTGCCTACAAAAAGGGGTAAATAATTAGTAACTAGTGTTTCAACTAAACTAAAAAGAGACTTTTTACATTATTGATACAAAATAGATATAATAAGTAACTTAATTGTAATTAGCATTTATAGGTATTACTTAAGAATACAAGTCAACAGCTAATAAAAGATTCTCCTTGTTTGCAACTGATGTTGTTATAATTTTTAAAAAACTATATTAACAAACAGAGGATGCATAATTCTTTATGAAGTTGTACTGTTTGTTTAGAGATTTAAAAAAAAAACCCATGAGAACGCACTGGGGATGTAATGTCTGCATGATTCCTCATGAAAGTGTAGAAAACCCCAAGCTGGTGCCAGCGAGTACACAGCTCTGGTGTAGTGACACCCCCAAAGCCACAAATGTCAGCACCAATGAAAGAAATTCCAAACAAGTTAAAGTTCAGGATACCTGGGGAAAAATGTTCGGCGTCTTTTAAAGAAATGGTTTCCATGGTTATTTTAGAATATTTTAAATCTCTATAAAACAAAAGAAAATATATGAATAATATTGCTAGCTTTTAATTTAATGTTATGATAATACTTAAACGTTACTGTTAGCTCCTAGTTTTATGTTATACTATTATTGTTATAAAAGTGGTTGTAAAACTTATTTTAAAGGGATTTAAAGTAAAACACAAATTGTGTTTAATTAAAGATTTTTATGAAAGCCTACATTAACTTATCAGATAGTTACAAAGCCTTTTTGACTAGCCTGGAATGGAGTAATACAGATCTTCAAAATCTGACTTGTTATCTCCTAGCCAATGCCCAGTGTATCTGCCACTTCCAGCATAGCTGGAGCGTGTTATAAGTGGTGACCTTTTGTTAGGTAGTAGTGTCGTCAGGACCCTGTTATATTACATACTTTATTTAAATATTTTGTGTTGTAATAATAGCATTGGAATAAAGACAAATTATAGTTTCATCAAATTAACACTATTTATTTACTAATTGTTTTTACTTGTGATAAAAGAAGACAAATATATTCACAAAATAAATCATTAAAATAACACAAAAGCAAGACGTACTGTCTGGTGATGTTGGCCTGTGACCAGCCATACATATTGTGTAGATTATAATGTGTTGACACAGCATGCTTAGCAGATGGGCAAATAGTTTTAGACATCAGACTTCCACCATCTATAGCTATTTCACACAATAATAAAATGTAGAGTTAGTTTAACAAGTAAATTATTGAAATCATATAATTTCACATAACACTTAATCTGTTTTATTTCTTAACTTAAAAATCAAGTAGATACAATACAATGCAAAACAATGAAAATAAAATGCCACACACTTACTTTCAGGAAGAAAAGGGGGATTATCCAATGAAGAATTTGTGCAACCTTTTGTAGACCCACCAACAAAACTGGAAGGCTCATTCATATCCTATTAAAATTAGTGTTTTAGACACATTAACTAAGATGTATGAAGAAAAAAGCATTCTATACAAAAATGTTTGTAAAAATAATAGACCGAGACTGTTTTTGCAATAGATTTTTATAGAAATTGATAAAAGGTGTGTTATTACCAAAATAATTGTTTTTTTAAATAGGGTGACATCATTACTTACAATCCATAGTCCGTCATATGGAAGTATGGCATGAAACTCACTGGCTTGTTTATACCAATATTGGAAGGCATTGGGGTGAAAAAAATCTGGGAATGCTGTTTTGCCTGGCCAAACCTTTAATTAAGATAATTTAAGAAGTTAGTAAAAGTAGGGATTAAAAATAAAGAATAAATACATCACACTTACACTTAATGTGGATATTCAAACTTTAAAAAAAATAGAGATAATAGTTATTTAATACTAATAATCCAATATTTTTAGAAGCAACAGTAATTTTATTATCAACCTGTATAATTTTTAAATGATTAGAATATAATTAAATGAATTATTTTGAATTGTGACATATCCCAAACTTATGTTTGTCATAGACATCATCACTGACAGGTGCCTATCACTACAGCCAAATCTTTGTCATCATGACATCATGCTCTAACAGCAAGTCTATCCTGGCCATCATTGAAACTCAGTTTACACCCACAAGCAAAGTCTGTCTTATAACACACTTACAGCTCCAATCAGAATGTCCCCACTGGCATCTTTTACAAACACATCCATCTGTTTACCATCATCAAAAGGTGGGTAAGTACCTGGTGCCTGCTCACTAGATATGGCTGGGTCCTGAAAAAAAAATTATCCTAAATATCAAATAATATTCAGTTATGATGTTATAAGATTCATCAGTCCACAAAGGCTGGACATTCACATCTTATTTCATTGACTTTTGTTGTAGTAAGTCAATTAGTCTAACAACATAATGGACGTTTTAAAAAAGCATTTATAACTGACTTTTTAAAAATAATTTTCTAAGCTAATAATAGCCATAGATCAATAAAATTTGCTTTATTTCTTTTTTAATTTCAACTCAATGAAAAAAGTAAGAATTTTCTTAAATGATAGCTGGATTCTTTTTTAAAGTAGGCCTACAACAGGACAAATAATTCAGATATAGAACAGATCTGTGACTTAGGCCATTTTAACCACTTATAAAACAGCTTTTAAAGCCCAGCTAAATCTACTGCCCTCTAGCGGAGGAGACAAGGCACAAAGGTCATGTGTAAACCACTTACTGCCATTATGACATATCTCTGTTGATTGTCGTGAAGGTCTTGAACAATGCTGGGTAGAGAAGAGAAATTAGATTTGTCGTATGTCCAGTCCTTGTACCCATCCATGTACTCAATATCTGTCCACTGGACATCCTAGGGTAGTTAGTGAGGCATTAGTAGTCAGAAATTTTAAAAAAAGATAATTTTAAGTTGAGTGTAGCTAATTTGTACAGCTAACTCTTATCATTATAGGTTTGCAACTGTGGGTTTAATTTTTGTTACTGTGTGGTCAATAACTAGTGTTAATGCATTCATTAGGACTTGACTACCTGATTGTAAATTGGGATAACATGGTGGATGAGTATTCAGTGATCACATAAAGCATGGGCAGATAACTGTGAAAATTCTATTTCCCCTGCCATTTAGTTAAAAAGCTCTCCCAAGACACGGCATGTGACACATACTAGATCTAAGTAGTATTTGTGTTTCCATGGAAGAATAAGTTTATTGTTGTCCAATTATGATATTTTTTAAAAATGTAGTTGTTAGTTTTTTAAAACAGCAAATATTTTAGGATTTAGGTCTTTGAGTCAAATCTTTGTATCAATAAAAAAAATTAAAATATGTATGAATAATGGACATTTAAAGGGTAAAAAGTTTACAAAAAAAGAGGATAAAAGCTATTGTGAAAGACAAATGAAAATGCACACTCGAGCAAAAATAGGAGTAATATTATTTTCATTATTACATACTTAAATTTAAATATTTTTATCCAAGATCTATTTTGTGTTCAAACATCATTTGTCATTCAGGTCTGTCCCACTTGTAAAACTGCAGGCCTACTACACTCACATAAGGCATTGAAAAATTCCTGTTTCTGTGTATCACATTCCAAAGCCCACTGTCATTATAGTATCCCCACTTACACAAGTGGTAGCCAAGAGCCCAAAATGGTGGGAAATAAGTTCGGCCTACAATTTCTGTAAACTGGGCTGCCACAGTCAGGGGCTTGGGTCCCAGTACAATGAAGAAATCGAGAATCCCACCCAGCATACGGTAGGTGACAGCACCTGAGCTCCTGTAAGGCTGTAATGCCAATTCTGAAAATTAAGTACTGCTATTATTTGTATTTTAAATTTACACATAATGCTGCTCTATTAAAAATTTTAATTTACATATTGAAAATTGGGCAGCAGATTTAGTATACTTAACCTCAATGAAAATCTATGAATAGTTTCAAAAAATGTGTGAACTATATGCAGATTTAAAGTAATATCCACTTTTTCTTTTGTTAAAATCAGAATGTCTTTTTAATTAAGATCTCAGTTAAAAATTCAAAGTATTTTTTTGAAACATTGTTAAATATATTCCACTTTACATAAAATCAATTTTTTTATGATGTTTGAAAAGAATCTTTTTTTTTTAACTTCATTCAAGTTTTTGTTGATTTCTAGATCTAGTTTTATATGAATTTCATCTCACTCTAGGCTTTAACATTACTGAGAATCTACAGCTATGCCAGCTGATCTAGTTTTTGAGTGAGGCTGTACTAACCTCCAGCATTGCTGTTGAGCAGAAAAACACCATGGCTATCACTGGGTCCAGGTGTGGAATCATTTGAGGGCTCCAGGTTAAGGAAAAAAGGATGAGTCCCATAGCCATTGTTATCAACCTAGATTCATAAAAACATTTTTTTTAAATTAATAAAGTCAAAATGAAATGTTAAAATAATTGAATGCATGTTTATCTTTAGACTCTGATAGCATTTTCCACTCTAATCTACTCCACCACATTACCTACTAAACACAATTTGCTATTTAAATCTAAAAGCATTTAGTACCACATCAATATTTGTTGTATACTGTTTTATAGAAGAAAAAACCGATTGAATGGTGAAAAGAGTCTAACTTTTTATAAAACTATAACTAGTTACCCTGGGGGAAGAATCTCTGTTCCAAAACACCAGTCTTTTCCAATAGGACAAATCTTGAACAAAAGTGCTGCGATGTTCTCCTATACCATACAGATATTTGGTGGACAGCTTGGTAGCAATTTGTAAGTACTGGTCAGAGAAGATCAAAGGGGCTGTATCTGTGGTGTCAAATCTATGATGAAGAACAGAAATTTAGTTTACAATGTGTTTGATGTATAGCTGAGTAATGAAATTTTTTAGAAATTTAAAAATCTTGTATGCCACAATGTGCCTATCTAAAAATAAATATTGCTTTTCCAGGTTATCCTACATTAAATTTTATGTCTAGGTAAACCTATAAGTTGGTTTGGAATTGTTTTGTTACTGTATCAAAATATGTTCATCAGAAGTTGAGAATAGTAAAAAGACTTTTACTTAATCAAAAAATCAAAACAGAGTTCTGTAGACTTACATTGTGGCTCCAGTTTCTACTCTTGTCACCTTGATGTTGAAAGGTGCTTTTTGTACAGACACATCATAGAGTGGATTCCTAATGCTAGAGCCAGATGGTACTAGCAGTGGCACCTCGTAACGGGCATTGTTTGGGTCGTAAAACTGAGGGGATAACAAGCAATGCAATCTTTTATTAAAGCCCTTAAAACCTTCACTCCTATAGGTTGAATGTAGCATAAAGAGTTGGTAAGATAAAGTAAAAAAGATTAATTATAACAAGTCTAGGTGTAATTATATAGTGAAATAATGTAGATAAAATTAATGAATTTGTATTTTAGATGAAAATTGCCTGACCTTTATTCTTAGTCTGGTATCAGTTTGATACTCTACTTTAAGCTTGAGAGTTTTGACATCAGTTGAGAAAAATGTGTTGGTAGTTCTAACTAGAGTAGCATCAATGCCATTGGATGTTATCAGCACCTCTGTAGCATTGTATCCATTGTAGTTTGTTGGGAAAAAACAGAAGGGCGCGGAGTATGGAAATGAAGACATCTTCCAGCAACAACCTCTGCTGATGCAGCCCTCCTCCGTAGTGCCATATTTTTCAGGCCAGCAATCAAATCTATTGTTTTCTTCTGTAGTACATTGGTTTTCTTCAACCTTTGGTGTTTTCACAGCTTTTGATAACACTGAGTATAAGACTAATGCCACTAAACCCATCAAGCATACTACTAGTAACCATCCTACTATCATAAATAGTTTGGCTAAAGATTTTCTACATTTTGAATCATTTTTATGATGCTTGTCAATGCTTAATTTGTATAACGCACTCTCAATATTGTCATATTTGACTTCTGGCTTCTGGTAATATGCATCATGTAAGTGCTTCCAATGTGTTGGCTCTCTGGTAAATTTATGTTTTATGTAACTTATAGAATCCATTTGAAGAAGAATGGAGACCTACACAGATATTAAATATTAAGCAATTAGATTTAAATCTAGAATCATTTGCAACAACAAAAAATGAAACGATATGCTTTAGAAATTCTCACATATTTCATTATTTGCACCAAAAATTATTTAAAATAAAGCCTAAATAATAAATAAGTAAGTATGTAAGCCCTATTTATTTATTATCAATATATTTGAATATATGTATTATGTATACATTAAAAAAAATTAATTTCCCTTTTTAAACCTGATGCCACAGAGCAAGTGAAGTAGAGTTCACATATTTCTAGTATATATATATATATATATATATATATATATATATATATATATATAGATCTAGAAATATATTAATATAAAGTAATAAACTATTAGTATATAGTATATAGTATATGTAATATATAAATATTATATTAATATATTTACATAGGCCCTACTGGCATTAAAAATATTTAAATATTTATATATCAATGTAACTAAATACTAGGCCCTAACTGAATAATACTTAATACATAATACTATATCTATATATTATATAGGCCTACTATACTATACTAACCAAGAATACCACTTGCTGTAACTGTAATCATCTACTTTTACTTTGCTAAATATTGGCCATATTATAAAAAATCTAGGCCTCTCTAATCCATCTAAAAAGCAGTCAGTCAAGCATAGAGAGTTAGAGTAGTCTTTAAGTGTGTATGTGTGTGTCACTTTAAAAAAACTGCTGTTGTTTAGAGTAGGCTGTGTAGTCTGCTACAGGCTACGAAGGTGTGTGTGAGAGGGGTAGGGGGTGAGAAGTTATTTAGGACGGTTTTTTTTTTTTAGTAAAATAGACTAAATCATGAGTACATTTTAGATAATGATAATGACAATAATAATGTCACGTAGGCCTAAAGGCATAGATCTATTATTATATTAATATTATTTGTAGTCTAGAGTTGGCCTATATATATATATAATATATATATTATATACACTATATACTATAGGCCTATATATAATTATTATTAATTATATATCTTACATTTATTATATGTATACTTTCGCTAAGCACTACAACTACTGTCACATGTTTATTTGTTGATCATAAATATTAAGTAGCAAACTAATTATATTTAATGTATAAATCTAATGTATAAAAATAAAGCTTTTCAGCTGAAGACCAGGTTATTTAAAAATTATTCCGAATCCATTCTAATCCTGGTTTTCCTTGATTGCATAGTTGGGAAATCAAGGGAGGGTATTAGACTTTTCTTAAGGCAAGTAAAAAACAAGTTAATAAAAAAATCTAGTGACAATTTAAGCGCAATTTCCTTATGTTATCCATAACAATTTTTAATTTTTTGTGATATTTTTTTGCGCTAAAAACCTACACGATGCTCAGTTTAAATTAAAAATATCATCCTAGGCCTACACGATGCTCAGTTTAAAAATTCTTAATTAATTTTTTGTGACCGAACGAAAGGATATTTTTGAAAACTTCCTTCGGCAATATTGTTCTAAATTATGGCAGGAATCTATTGGTAAATGTTTCAAGTCGCTAAGTGGTCTGTTTGCCGAGATGTGGGCCAAAAACTGCATTTTTTCGAGGTTTTTTGGCTTTTCCGGGAAATCCAGGAATGAATTCCGGGAATTTTTTTGGCCCACAATCATCCTCGGAACTTGCTTAACATATTCATTTTCTTATTTTTTTAGTGAATTGAGAAGCTTTTTATAAACTTTATATAATAGTATTATATATCTCGATCTATATCTAGATCAGGGGTCTCCAAACTACGGCCCGCGGGCCGGATGCGGCCCGCGAGGTCCTCTCATCCGGCCCGCGGAGATCTTTTTGTCCACGTTAAAAACGTTTGTTGGTGATGGCTGAGGAACTTTGCCCAGAAAAATCAAAGACATGCCTGGAAGAAACTGGCCCCCGAACCGAAATTTTATAGTTAATGCGGCCCTCGGACTGAAAAGTTTGGAGACCCCTGATCTAGATCAGTGGTTCTTAAAAAAAATTCTGGAGTTACCAAACCTCACTAGCGTCATAAACCCCTTCACCGAACCCTTCTTAATTAATTTAACAGGCAAATAAAAAAATATTTTTTTCCAATTCAAAATACAGGTTGATCTAGATCTATATACTGGAGCACAAAATAAAACGAACCTGGGTAAAAATATGTTTTCTATATAAATTCCATCTTGTTCGGGGGGGGGGGGGGGAAGAGACGAGATGGCTGGAGGTAATTCTGTTAGCCCATTCTTCTGGGAATCCCCTTTTAGCTCTCATGATGGCTTCTGATTTTAGTCCACACTGGGTATTTGATTTCCCCGGTAACTACCATATATAGAAACAAAGTATATATATATAAATATATATATATATATATATGTTTGTACCGGCTTACATAGGCCTATAATTTAAACATGTCGCATACGCGTACATGTGTGCGCATAATCTTTAATCACGGCAAGCTTAATAGTATTTATGTTTATCTATAGTCTGTTAATAATTCAGTTGGATGTAGCAGTTTTTTCTCTATAGTTAGCGCGGTTACGTCATGATGTCACCCACACCCTCTTGTAATAATTGTCAAGTTGTACTTGAAAGACTATTTAACTTTAAATAATCATTAAAGGAACTGGCAGAAAGCATTTTTCTTCTGTACATTTTGCAATTTTTTTTACCATGGTGTCACTCTCCTAAATGGTATCATCCGGTGCTGCCCCACCCCGCTGCACTTTTGTAGTAGGCATTCATGTACCCACCACCCGTCGCCACCCGGAGAGGCACTCGATGGAAGATTGGCTACTCCAGTCGCGTGTTCAACCATTAAAATATTATTTTCACCCAAAAACAAAAGCATAATAATGAATATTTACTTGAATTGTCCATCTCCTTGGGGCTCAGGGAAATTTGCTCTTAGTTTAGCTGGTGCAAGACAATGTATAAATATTAAAAAATGTACCTACAAATGATTAACAGCACTACACATTTTACCTACCAAACAAGGAAAGTGAAGCCAGAGTAAGCAAAGCAGTTTAAGTGGGCAATCAAACTCTCAAGAACTAGAAAGCTTAAAATCTTTAACACAATAATTAACCTAAACTCACAAAGAAGAAATACAAATTTAATATTTTTAAATCTTTTAATTTTATATGATTAGAAAAGTGAGAGTTATAAAAAGATATAATTGCAAAAAAAATAAAAAATTATAAAGTATTCCATTCAAACAAACTTTACGTCCTGGTAAAAATATAGTAAAATCAATTCAACATTCACATCTGAAAGACAAAGAGTAAAATGTTTTGACAACTCATCAAATTATAATTTGACAGACTGAAAATTTATCTGAAAAACAGTCTTGGATACATAGAAATAAGCATTAAGATTATTTTAAGGAAATGTATTCAGATTTCACTGCATCTTTTTTCAAAAGCTAACTCTATTTTGTTGCTACTAAGAAATTTAAAAAAAAAAAAAAAAAAAAAATAAAATAAATAGTGAAGTAGTTCACTAACATCTGCACCAACATTCAACAATAAAGGGAAAAAACTCAGGGAAATTATGATGATATGCATTAACATTTATAAAGGCACATTTTAATATAAAAAACAGTAGTATTCTTAGTTGATTAAATTGTTCATAAGCTTTGGAAATAGTGACAAGTTTAAAGAGAAAATATTTTTAAAATGTCACATCAAGCACTAAAATAAGGAAATTTCAAACATATTTTACTTGCAAACAAATTAATCTAATTTGTCTTTACTAACAAGCATAAAAATATTAATTGTTATACATATTGTAACCCCAGTTTTAATTGTAAACAGACAATAAATAGTTGATTTACTTTTTCATTAAGAAGGCCAAATCAGTAGTAAAAAAAGCATTAGCTTTCCATAAAAATGCATACAAATAATTTACATTACCAATTCTATGATTGAAGTTACAAAAATATATTTAAAAATATAATTATGGTAAATATTTTATTAATACTGAAAAAGGTCATGGTCATATAATTTACAAAACTTACCACAATATCATTTCAAAATTGAATACAACACCCACTTGGAATTAATAACTCCATGACCTTAATACACATTGGTAATGTGTGAACACAAGCAGAATATTCGATTGTATTTTATATTTAACAGTTGTTTTTAATGTTTAGCTCTACTATCTTGTTAAATATTCAGAACCTATGATGGTGTTTTAACTCCAGGTAACTGTAAATGTTTTCAACAAATCCACATCCAGGCCAGTAATATTTAACACCTGAGAGAACAAAACATCTTGAGGTGAATGATATCTTTCAATAATGGTAACATGAAATTTAAAATAAAATGGTAGCTTACATTGATTCTGATATTTTGGTGTCTGTTTGGTAGGGTAACTTAAAATGTCCAAAAACAACAATGTATCATTCTTCAAACAATATCATTGTATTATTTTTGTTTTGTTAATAAATTTTGTGATATTGTTTTATTATGTCACCCTCAAATGGTGTCACTGCTTGCAGACACACCCTTTCACCCCCAATTTTTGAGACTACAAGGAATTCAATCCAACATTTCAAAATTGATTAAATTAAGTTTAATGTAAATTAACATATGATTGCATTTTATGTATAGAAGTTAATCTTTTAAGTAGTTTCATAACCTAATGCACCAACCTTAGAGTCTGAGTTGTAAGAAAATGTAGCAGAGTTTCCATTGACTGAAACAGCAGATGGAGCTTGAGAGACCCCATAGACAACAACATCACTCATCTTAACACCTTGTGGTGGGTTATAGCCTGCCTGGGCTACTCGACTCATTAGAGTGTTCTGGCAAAAAGAAAATACAAAAGTAAATACATTATTGTATCAAAAAAGGGTGAGAAAATAATTATTTTACATGAAAGAATTTCACATTATTATATACTTTTTAATTTAAGGTGTTAACATAACCTTTTTTTTTGAAGCAAGTTAAAAAAATTTTTGGTGAAAATTAACTTCAATAATTCCATGTGTAAAATGGTCTAAAATCTAAACAGTGATGAGCAGACTTATGATTTATTTTTCACCTTTTTCAACATTATAAGCAAGTAAATCACTCTTCAGTGGTTTGTAGCACTCAGCTGTTTGAAATAAATACCACTGCTCTTTTCCTTACATATTGGTATATATCTACAAAGTGATAACTAAAAGATTATTGAAAAACTTTACATTGTAACATTTGCTATGTAGCTTCTACAGTTCACCAAATCTAAATTATAACTTTCACTGTAGTTCCCTAAATGATTCTTTTCTGAATTTTAATTATTGTAGAAAAAAAAAACTTCTAATTTTTTTGCCGACCATTGTTTTACTTTTAACAATATAATTGCACTAAAACATCTTTCCAAGCTTTAAATTTTTCTTTTTATATTGGCATATCAAAGATATTTAGTATTAATTTCTGTCTAAACTTACCTTGTTATTCATGTAGAAGTAAATCTGAGAGAACTTTAAGGCATACACGCTGTCTGTATAAAAAATTTTGTTTGTTGTATAATCAAAACTGCATGGTTTTTTATCTTAACTAAGCTATTTGTTATCATCTGACATGTTTTAGAAACATTTATCACAAACAGTTATGAAATCTCTGCCTGAGATGATAACAACTTACCCAGACTTTCACCATCGTCCCAAAACAGTTCACCAGTGGCGCCATTAGTGTCATTCAGGGCGACAAGAATTTTGAACTTTTGCTGTCGTCTAATGAAAGTAAATAATTATTTTTATAATCAAACATATAATTGAAAGTAAAGTCACATTAACTTTTATCTAAATAGGAGTAAGAGTTTTTAGTGCCTAAAAATGTGTTTTTAAAGGGTGGCCCTTTATAAAAAGTGTAGACATATATCCTATCAATTTATAAATAAAACTTACGCAACATCAGTACGCTCAGTGGCAGGTAGCAGTGGTATAATAGAGCCACCACGTAATAAAACGTTGATGTGATCAAGGGTAGCATTAAGTTGAATGTAAGTTCCTCTTGTTGTGATGGGGGTACCAACATAAAAATCATACCAACTGTCATTTGGAACGTAGGCAGTCACTGTGGTTTGTTTCTGACAATTTTGGAAACAATTTTTTAAAACATTATTTTTAGCGCAATTTCCATTCTGGAGAATTGCGTTTATTAACTCGTCATTTCTGGGAATGGATGGATGGATGAATGTGTGTCCGGGCTTTAAGTCGTATCTCCTCCTCAACGAAGCAATATCGATGACTAGTTCCAAAAGCAATTATGTTAAGCAAGTTACGAGAATGAGCATAGGCCATAAAAATTCCGGGTTTCTTTCATGTATTTCCCGTAAAAGCAAAAAAACCTCGAAAAAATGCAGTTTTTGGCCGATATCTCGGCAACCAGACCACTTAGCGACTTGAAACATGTACCAATCGATTCCTGCCATAATTTAGAACAATATTGCCGAAGAAAGTTTTCAAAAATATCCTCTCGTTCGGTCACAAATTTTAAAATTACATAAACACCTACAAACCGATCGCTCTTCTAGCTTGAACGCACCCCATCATTATACGTCAGAGCTATTTTTAGATAACATAAGGAAATTGCGCATAAATGTCACTAGACTTTTTTAATTAACTTGCGCGCCTACTGAACGTGATGGCGCAGCCATGGAACGCGATGACGCATCTATTGAACGTGATGACGCGTGTGGTGTGGTTGTATATACATGCCGGAAGTAGAGATCTATCATCTTAATGATTATCATGTTGATAATCAAGTTCAACTAACCAATGGTTTTAATAACCCTGCTCTTGATTTCAAGGTGCTTAGTTTAGTTAGTGGTTAGGTTTATTTAATAAAAAACGTTTTAATAACTAACCAATGGTTTTACTAACCCTGCTCTTGATTTACGCTACGACAGAGCTATTTTTAGATAACATAAGGAAATTGCGCTAAAATTGTCACTAGACTTTTTAATTAACTTGTTTAAATAAAATTAAGCTTTATTGAGGAGTCAAATGTTACGATTAATTTTAGAGATAATTAAAAAAAAAATAATATAAAAACCTTTATAATAACAAACTTTTAAATCTATTGAAAATAAAATAATACTAATTTGCTTTCTTAAATAAAAGCTTTGTTCACACATTTTTAAAATGCCTAAATATCTAAATACCTACATCAAACAACACTGGTACGACCATAAGTGAATCACACCACATAAACTGGCGGTCAATGGTTTCTACACCTTTGTACCTAGCAGAATGGAGTGCAATTAAAACTTAATTAGTAACTGCTAAGTAAATCAATTCGAGAATATAGTATTTTTACTTAAATCTTGTTACTGATATACATAAAAATAATGTTTACTCTAGAGTTCAAAATCTCTTAGAATGATATCTCACAAGTAAAACAGAGGTCTTATAACTGGAAGTCCCTCAGAGTGGGCTTTAAACATGGCAGTGTAGAGCACAGCCAGGAGAGTGTAACGTAGTTTGAGAGCATCACGAATGTAAGTTCTGTAGGGATCATCAAATGTACCAGGATCTTGTGCCTACAAAAATGTTTAAACAATTTAAAAATTGGGCCTTACTTTAGGAACTAAAATGTTACTTTTTAGTTATTGAGAATAAAATAAATATTTTAGGAACTTTAATTTTTAAAAATTTAAAACAGTAAGAGTAATTGGATTATTTCTATTTAATTGAAAAGGAAGCCATTTTTTTTTAAATATTTTTTTTTAACAAGATTTAAATTCCAGCACTAACTACTCAGAATGTTCTCTATTTTTACTAATGATATATATATATATATATATATATATATATATATATATATATATATATATATTATTTCTACTTTTGAAACTAATGATAAACATTTTGTGTTTTTTAGCATAAAAATTATGGGAGTAGGACATTAACCCCCACATCAATTATCCCCTGTACCCACATACTGCCCGAAACAATTGATGTCAGACATTTGTCAATACCCCCACCCCTCTACGGTCATTAAGATAGGGATAGGGGTAAGGATAAGGTTAGGGATAATATTAGTAGGAATAGGGATATAATAATTAGGAATAGGGTTAAGGATAGGGATCCTATTAGGAATAGAGAGTTAAGGGATGGGTTAGGGGTAAGGAGATGGATAGTGATTAGTAGAATATATATATATTCTAAAGAGGGGGGTAATTGGGGGGGGGGGGGGGGGGGGTAATGTCTAAGACCCATTAATCACATACCGGAGATGCTAAGTCTGCATGATTCCTCATGAAAGTGTAGAAAACCCCAAGCTGGTGCCAGCGAGTACACAGCTCTGGTGTAGTGACACCCCCAAAGCCACAAATGTCAGCACCAATGAAAGAAATTCCAAACAAGTTAAAGTTCAGGATACCTGGGGAAAAAATAATTTGTTTAAAAAGCAACTTAGGTTTTCTATTGTTATTTTAGAGCAAGAGTATGTTTTCAAAGCATACTTTTTTCTTAATTTGCTAAAAACATTTTGCAGGAATATTTTTGTTTCAAAAAGTAAATATCAAACCCATTTTCCAGATTTGTTAAAAAAATTGTCGAGCATTTATAATTAAAAATAAATGTTTTGACTAGCCTGGAATGGAGTAATACAGATCTTCAAAATCTGACTTGTTATCTCCTAGCCAATGCCCAGTGTATCTGCTACTTCCTGCATAGCTGGAGCGTGTTATAAGTGGTGACCTTTTGTTAGGTAGTAGTGTCGTCAGGACCCTGTTATATTACATACTTTATTTAAAGATTTTGTGTTGTATTAATGACATTGGAATAAAAAAAAATTATAGTTCTATCAAGTTAACATTACTTTTTTTTACTAATTAAAATTGTTTTTGCTTGTGATTAATACAAGACAACTAAATTGACAAAATAAACCATAGAACAACACAAAAGCAAGACGTACTGTCTGGTGATGTTGGCCTGTGACCAGCCATACATATTGTGTAGATTATAATGTGTTGACACAGCATGCTTAGCAGAAGGGCAAATAGTTTTAGACATCAGACTTCCACCATCTATAGCTATTTCACACAAAAATAATTACCAGGTAGTTAAACAACATATATTATTGAAGTAGATTATTTCCAATGTAATTTTACATTATAACTGTTCTGCAACAAAACTGATAAGTTTGATATATTTTTATCTCAATAAAAAAGAGTGAGTTGTAATTCAAATTGATGAAGTTCTAAAAACTCACTCTATGATCATAACTCCTTGGAAAAAAATGTTCTCACATCACTTACTTTCAGGAACAAAAGGGGGATTATCCAATGAAGAATTTGTGCAACCATCTGTAGATCCATCAATAAAACTAGAAGGCTCATTCATATCCTATTAAAAACAATATTTTGTGTTAGTAATAAAAAATAAGTTGAATAGTTTTGGCGGAAAAAAACAGTTCAAATTGACAATGTGAATATATATACAAAAATATCTCATAAAATTTTCTTGCTTAAACAGGTGTTTACTAAAACAAAAAGACTGTAGTTTCTAAAAGGGTATATCTTAAACAATAATTATGTTGCTTATATTAAAAGATAATTATGTCTAATTAAATTTAATATAAAGTGGTGACATTACTTACAATCCATAGTCCGTCATATGGAAGTATGGCATGAAACTCACTAGCTTGTTTATACCAATATTGGAAGGCATTGGGGTGAAAAAAATCTGGGAATGCTGTTTTACCTGGCCAAACCTTTATTAAAATTAGTTTAATATAGTAAAAATTTGAATAAAATATATAGAAAACTGGATATATATATATATATATATATATATATATATATATATATTTAAATTTTACAAATGAAATTTCATTTTGTTATGATAAATTACAGTTTAACTTACAGCTCCAATCAGAATGTCCCCACTGGCATTTTTTACAAACACATCCATCTGTTTACCATCATCAAATGGTGGGTAAGTGCCTGGTGCCTGCTCACTAGATATGGCTGGGTCCTGAAAAACATCACAATTATCTGGCATTCACTACTGATGTCCTACGCTACACAAATCCACAAAAAATTAGTTCAATATTCACAACTTACTTGAGGGACTTTTGCCTCGGTAAAATATAATTAGGATGTTTGCATTTACATTTTTGTTAAATAAATTCAGAATGTAAAAATTTAGAATTTAAAAAAATATTATTATAAGCTTAATAATTGTGCTCAGCCGTGACAGGAAAAAGTATCTTAGATATGGTAAGTAGCTATTTTGTCATATAAGATCAATGTTAAGGTCACTCAAGTAAATAAGCTTTTGTAGCCCAACTAAAACAGGCCTGCCCTCTAGTGGGTGAAACAAGACATTAGCCATTACTTACAGCCATTAAAACATATCTCTGCTGGTTGTTGTGAAGGTCTTGAACAATGCCCGGTAGTCCAGCAAAATTAGTCTTATCATAGGTCCAATCCTTATGTCCATCCATGTAGTCAATATCTGTCCACTGGACATCCTGGGATAGTAGAGCATTGCACATTGATTTATTTACTCACATTAGTCATATTTAATATTTACTGTTTTAACATGGCAGATTATAGTTATATACAGGATACTAAGGATATCCTTAAACTCACACTAAGCTTTTATCAGTAGCGACTCTAAACTAGGGGAAAAAATTGACAGGAAATAACTCTACAATATCTTGAAAGACAACTGCACAGGTAAAATATGTGATGCAAATTCAAATTGGTTTTGCTTCTTCAGTATATCTACTACTAGCAATAGTGATAACACACGATTTAGCAGCTTATATTTATACTACCACAGAAAATATTTTGCACAAACAGTTTTTTGAGTAAAAAAAATCCTGTTAATCAGAAGACAAAAATATTTCTACAGAATGGACATAAAATGCGTACATATGGCATATTAGCATCACGGTTCCTTTTAATCATATCTTGAAGCTCTGAAGAGTTATGGATCCCATATTTGCAGATGTGAAAGCCCAGGGACCAGAAGGGAGGAAAATATGTTCTTCCAATGATATCTGTGAACTGTGCTGCCACAGACAGAGGTGTGGGTCCCAGGACAATAAAAAAGTCAAGGATTCCTCCCAGCATCCTGTATGTGACAGCGCCATCTAGCTGGCTGCCATAAGGCTGGAGAGCTACTTCTGTTTAAACACACAATTTTCTAAAATTATCAAACTGCAGAGTAAAAAAGTTTACAAAAAAGGGAAAAAGCTACTTTGAAAGACAAATGAAAACCAAAACTCAAACAATAAGAGAGATATATTTTCAGTTGATAGATAAAATAAAATATTTTTATGCAAAATTTAGTCATCAAATTATGTTGTACTGCAGTGACGCATCATTTGTCATTCAGATTAACTTCTGTCCCTCCTGTAAACCTGATCTAGACTCACATAGGGCATTGAAAAATTCCTGTTTCTGTGTATTACATTCTGAAGTTCATTGTTGTTATTGTAGCCCCATTTACACAAGTGGAACCCAAGAGCCCAAAATGGTGGGAAATAAGTTCGGCCTACAATTTCTGTAAACTGGGCGGCCACTGTCAGGGGCTTGGGTCCCAGTACAATGAAGAAATCAAGAATCCCACCCAGCATACGGTAGGTGACAGCACCTGAGCTACTGTATGGCTGTAATGCCACTTCTGAAAATTAAGTGACCCTCTTATATCCTTATCTACTTTCATGTCTTGCAGATACATTTCAAATATATCATTCTACATATCAGAGCACACTGCAGTGAAGTTAGTGTTAAAAATAAAACCTAACACATCAGTCAATTAAAAATAATGTGTCAAAATATGTGCATATTTAAGGTAAAAATGTTTATATTTTTAAAAACTATTTTTTATCAGCTTAAAAAAAATACTTTTGGTTTTTAAATTAAATTTAAAAATTAAAAAATTAAAAAAAAAAAACCTAAAAATTTAATTTGTAATTTATAAATTATTATAAAAATTATTTTTTTTAAATATTCCAGTTTAATATGAATTTTATTTTAATCCATAACTTAACACTACTGAGAATTTATTTCTATCCCGGCTGATCTAGTTGTTGAGTGAGGCTGTACTAACCTCCAGCATTGCTGTTGAGTAGAAAAACACCATGGCTATCACTTGGTCCAGGTGTGGAATCATTTGAAGGCTCCAGGTTAAGGAAAAAAGGATGAGTCCCATAGCCATTGTTATCAACCTACAAAAAATTTAGGAAACAAATTTTTAAATCAATGATATCAAAGAAAACTAATAGTTAAGTTTTTTTCTCTTTATAACTAAGTAGGTGATTTTTTTTTTAAATTAAAAAGTAGAAATTCTACATTACATCCAAAACAAAAATTTAAATTTACTTTCTCATATAAAGACTACTAACCCTGGGCGATGCATCTCTGTTCCAAAACACCAGTCTTTTCCAATAGGACAAATCTTGAACAAAAGTGCTACGATGTTCTCCTAGACCATACAGATATTTGGTGGACAGCTTGGTAGCAATTTGTAAGTACTGGTCAGAGAAGATCAAAGGGGCTGTATCTGTGGTGTCAAATCTATGATGAAGAACAGAAATTTAGTTTACAATGTGTTTGATCTATATACCTAAGTAAGCACTGAAAATATTTAATTTTGTATTTGAAGATATTTTAATCAAACATAAAAAAGGATAAATTTATTTATAATAAATCATAAAGTGTTTCTAAATAAATCACATTTGTCTTGAGATCACAATAAGACTTTCACATCTATCACATAAGTGACCTTTTAAAATATATTTCTACCAATAGGCTTAAGCAAAGACAAAATAATTTTTTTTAAATTATTATGAAAATTAAATACTTTTTAGGCCTCTAATTGAAAAGGTCGTACATTAATTTGTTACATGATATTGATTAAATGACTTTAACCATATATGGAAATGACAAAATAACTTTCTAAATTTAGTTTTTAAATTTATGCTAGTTATTTTTGTAGGTATAGCCTATGTATTATAGGCACACTATGCTTTATATCATTTTAATGATACATTCTGTTGGACATCTTTTGCCCAGCTAAAAATAGGTTACCTGGTTATCTTCACAATAAAATTTTATGTCTCTGTTTATTTTGGGACTGAATAGCTTTATTACCAAAGTACACAACCCTAGATAAGTTTTAACTTTAAAATGGAAAGTTTGAAAGACGTAAAATTTTGAAAATGTTTTACAATTCAGGTCATGCATATTCTTTGTTTGTTTGATGGAAAATGACAGAAAATAATTGTGTAGCCAATGACCACTTAGAGTGATGGAACACACTTATTTGATACAGATAGGATTGACTAGGCATCACTTAAAAGTTTCACTTATAAAACAGAACACAGATCTTTGCAGAAGTTGCATTACAGTTTTGGACTAAATAACACTAATATAAAACTAAGTTTTCAGTAGACTTACGTTGTGGCTCCAGTTTCTACTCTTGTCACCTTGATGTTGAAAGGTGCCTTTTGTACAGACACATCATACAGTGGATTCCTAATGATAGAGCCAGATGGTACTAGCAGTGGCACCTCGTAACGGGAATTGCTTGGGTCGTAAAACTGAAAAAATATTTTTTATTAGATTGCTAATTGGTTTCACACAATAATATTAAAAGTAGCACAAAGTGTATGAAAATAATGTTAGATTAAATCTGATTCATAATCATAACGTTAATATTTAATTAAATACTTTACACCTGAAAATGTATAAGGCAATATTTATGTCATATTTATGCATAGGCTACAACTTGAACTATCAAGTCTAAACAAAGTCAAATTATTAATTTATCAGTTTTCAACTACATTAGAAAGCTGTTTAAGTAGTAATAGCATTTATTTATTTTTCCAATTCAAAGGTATGGGAAACTATTGCATAGGATAAAAAACTAAACTGTTAGAATGGGTTACATTCATTCTGTAAGGTAGCATGGTATTTATTTAAAATAATAGTGTACTAGTTGAAATTAATTATGAAATATTTTTAGGCAACAGCAAATTAAAAATCACATTACCTTTATTCTTAGCCTTGTATCAGTTTGATACTCTACTTTAAGCTTGAGAGTTTTGACATCAGTTGAGAAAAATGTGTTGGTAGTTCTAACTAGAGTGGCATCAATGCCAGTGGATGTTATCAGGACCTCTGTAGCATTGTATCCATTGTAGTTGGTTGGGAAAAAACAGAAAGGTGCAGAATAAGGGATAGAAGACATCTTCCAGCAACAACCTCTGCTGATGCACCCCTCCTCTGTAGCGCCATGCTTTTCAGGCCAGCAATCAAACCTATTATTTTCTTCCGTAGTACATTGGTTTTCTTCAACCTTTGGTGTTTTCACAGCTTTTGATAACACTGAGTATAAGACTAATGCCACTAAACCCATCAAGCATACTACAAGTAACCAGCCTACTATCATAGATAGTTTGGCTAAAGATTTTCTACATTTTGAATCATTTTTATGATGCTTGTCAATGCTTAATTTGTACAACGCACTCTCAATATTGTCATATTTGACTTCCGGCTTCTGTTGCTGTGTGTCATGTAAGCGCTTCCATCTTGTTGGATCTCTGGTTAGTTTCTGTTTCATGAATTTTAAAGAATCCATTTTAAGAAAAACTGGAGGCCAATCTACACAGATGTTCAGCAACTAAATCCCAATTTGCCTGCAACAAAACAAAACACAATCTGATATTAATTACAACACTGCTCCTGCAAGATAATAAACCAACTCTTATCTACACAGATGTAGGCTATACACAGATACATTCTTACTTGACATGTTTATCACCAGCTACTGAAGTAGTGAACTTTCCTGTAGGGTGGTGTTGTAAGCTAACTTATCGTACGAAAATGTTTCCATTGTGTCAAGAGTCAGCCCTTAAAAATCACCTGATTAAACTAAAGTGTGTCACTGTATGACCCTAATATTGTTCTGATTTTAAATCTTCTTCTTCATCTTAATTCTAATGTTGAACTGGATTTTTCCTCCAACACAATTAAGTATAATGTGTCAACCTGTAAAGCGCCATATAGGCGATTGACTTCAATTTCAGTTGTTTGATTTTGGAGTTTTCTCTCCTAGATTGGTTGCTGTCCCCAGTGAGTGGGGGATCAGACTGATGATAAAGGATTGGTGGTAAAAAGAAAGAATCAATTTGTTTACATTAAAAAACTTTTAATAGAATTTTATCTTAAATTTTAAACTTATAATATAAGACACTTTTGTGAATTCAATAGAAAAATTAAATATACCTAATTTTAACCAAGCTGAATTAATAATCTAAAAAGTTTTTGTGTCAAATATAATAGATAATCTATATATATTAAGCAAAGTGGTCAAGTGCCCGACACGGTGCCGCCGGCGCTTCAAATTTGACATGAGTCGTCCTTGGGGCGATAGAACACGAGAGCCGGTGCCGGTTAGCCAACAAGTCCACGTAGAGGGGGTCAAAACTGACCTCGACTGACCGGCGCCTTATATGGGCTCTATTACGAAAAAAAACTTTTGCCCGACGACCCCCTTTGAAATTTTTGGCATGCTTATAGGTAAATGGCTTGACTGTAGGGCAAACCTGTCGGTGTCACTCAAAGCCCTCGACGAGGGCTAAAAAGTGACTGCGAATGGAGTTCTCTTTATATGAGCTCTATTACGAAAAAACTTTCGTCCGACGACCCCACCTTGAAATTTTTTGAGGTGGTAGGAGAACGCCTTGGGGTGTCATAAAAAACTCGCCATGTCCGGGAAAAATCGGGAAATGGGTCAAAACTGACCAGTTGTATTTCCCAATATAATCTTTGTATTTTATGGGAAAAACAGAGGGTAATTTCAAAACAAATTTTAGGGCAATTGTATACTATTTTAAACATAAACAGAAAATGACGAAGTATAGCATTTGCTTTAGAAAAAATTAAGTTGCTAATTAATGTACGTATCCTAATTTTAAAAAAATAATTAATTTTAAAAGTCAATGTAATATAAATCATGAGATAAACTGTTCATGGAATCTCTGTAGTTCTCATTCAATTTTAGTCATACATTGCGAACTTTCCAATATTTTCTCTGAATAGCATTACTGTTTAAATTTAAGCACTCCACACCTCAGCCATCTCTAAATAATTAAGTATTCAAATCCTCAAATGTTTTTTAAAACCTAAGCGAAGCTAGGCAGTATGCCTAGTTGAATAATAAACCTAAAGCAATGTCTAAATATATCAATAAAGGCCAGAAATTGACTTTAAACAGCCTTGTTTGCGAGCAAGATTTGCTTTATAAACAGCAGTCATCTGTGAATTAGAGTGGTTTCCCCTGAATCTCTGGCTAACTAAAATGTTACCAAAAAATTAAACAAGATGGCTTCTAAAGTAAATGAGCTTGGTTGCATCTGATGAAAACATCGCTAATCATTATTTACTTTATTTATTACAGAAAAGTTTTAATACAATTGTTTAAAAACAGGTACATGAATGAAGGGTTGAAACATTTCTGTACATAAATAAATCTTTTGGCCGCATTTGCGCGGTTCGCTCTGCGTTACGCGTAAGGCCGCCTTTGCGCAGTTCGCTCCGCGTTACGCATAAACTTTACCCTAGGTGGTACGCGATCTAAAAACAAAACAGATATCAGGACTGCCCAATTTTTTTTCGTGGTAACAATTTAATGTTGACATAGATCTAGATCGAGTTTAAGTGTATTTAGATCTCTATATTATTTCAACACATAAGAGTCTAGTACTTGTAAAAAAAACAGTACAGTGTAGTGTCAAGGAAAGTTTGTGAGGTCAGATGGGTCAGATGATAGTCCTAGATCTAGCAGCAACTTAGCTAAATCAAACTGTCCTTTAACCTTTAGGCATGGCTATCTAGCATGCGTGATAGTAGATCTAAGTCTATATTATTTATCCTACGTGAACTTAAAAAAAATTCAATTTGCTTGAGGGGGTGGGAGGAAGAGAGAAGTGAAGACAAACGATCTCGTGTGAACGTCTATGACGTATGCTTTAGGCCTCGCCTAAAGTCAGTGACTTCGCCATCCGTGGGCCGTGGTGGGATTTTCCACTCATGCAATAGTAAACGTAAGGCAAGCAATCAGGACAATGACAATGTTTGGAAATTTTATTTAAAAAAAAATTATTTTCAATATAAATAAAAAATGTAAAAAAAAAAAAATACTGGCCGAGTTAACCCCGGGTTCGAAACTCTGAACTCCGGGTCTATGAACTTCAGACTTCAGCTGGCACACTGTTGACTCAACCACAGCGAATGTGATAGAGATGTCAAAAGTAAGCATTTTCAATTATAAGATGGCAAATCAAACCTGCGAGACGCGTAGTATATTCTTTAGGGGCCACGCTTTGCGAGACGCGTAGTCACTTCGAAATCTTTTTTAAAAATGTGAAATAATATTTGATGAGTCACCCTTTTTTCAAATTACTTACTAGCCGATTTTTACGTACCTAAAACGATAGATTACCAGGAGTTTATAAAGTAGATCTAGATCTAGAAGCTAGATTCTATCAGTGATTCAGTATCTAAATTAAATGTACACACAAGATTTTATTTTATTTACTATTTTGTATTTAGCCCTTGAACTTAAAATAATTTTGTCGTGTGGCTTACCTTGAAAATGAAATAGAGATCTAGTAATAAATAACTAATATAACAATTAATATAGATCTAGTAAGGTCTAGAATCTAGATTAGTTGAAATTGAAATACCTTCACCTTGATCTTGATTGAAGTTGATTGGGCTAAGTCCGAACTAAGTCGCAGTCCTTTTATTTTTACTAGACTAGTAGTATAGTATACTAAAACTATAACATAGTAGATCTAGATCTGGATATATAGAGGAAACGTTAATTATTAATTATTAAAAAGTAGAGTCCATAGTCCAAGTGGCATTCACAATATAAAGTAATAAACTCTTGTTGTTTGTAGACTTAGCCTAATGTTATGTCTGCTGCAGCTGATAGGATCAGCTGATTTCCGAATCTATTCTCGTCCTACTTTTTACACTCTCAGTAACTCAGGGGAGGAAACGAAGGTTTAGGTAGGCTTAAACCATACAATGGGGAGGAAGTACGATAAATAAATATGCTTCAATAGACCTCGTCCCATATAAAGAGTTTCTTTCAGGCATCTCTTCGGGGGAGACCGAGCCCACCCCCCTCCGACTACCCCCCCCCGAACAAAATAGAATTTATATAGAAAATATACTTTTACCAGTGTCTGCCCCCCTCCCCCCACCACGGAGGAAATTTTAGTCCTTCGTTCCCCCCCGCCACCCCCCCCCCCCCCACCGAAAAAGCAAGTGCCCCCCCCCCCCCCTTGGAATGTGAACACATTTTATAATCATTTAAGGGGTCTTGATCTAGAAAAAGAAGTAATAAGCACTGAAAATATTTAATATTTTTCTATTTGTAATAGTGGAATAGCAATGGTGGGGGGGGGGGGGGGGGGGTGTGCCGACTGCTATCAAAAAGAAAAATAAGGAACTTTATTAACTTAGTGTCAAAATTTTATCAAATTGATTTCTTCTTTTTTTTTAAACTCTCATCAATGCTTTTCTGTCCTTTGCCATTTTTATATAAAACTTTACTTACAAAAGAAAACACATTCCAGGTTGCCTATAATTTTAGTGCAACATATATGTATGCTGCATGCCTTGAAGTTGGTGGAGAGTGGAGGGTGAGTTACACTCCGGGGTACCATTTAGGGTGTCACCTTACTTTGTGACTCCATGGAGGTGGGCAGAGTTTCTTCCAGGCATCTCTTCGGGGGGGCTTTGTCCCCCCCCCCCCGAAAAATTTTTACCGCCCCCCCGAACGAAATGAAATTTATATAATTTATATAGAAAATATATACTTTTAACAGTGTCCGCCCCCCCGAAGAAAGTTTACCGCCCCCCGAAGATTTCAAGTGCCCCCCCCGGAGAAAAAAGTCTGGAAGAAACACTGGAGGTGGGTGAGGCACAAGGGGAAGAGGCTCCTCACAAATTTGTTGAAGACTACTAAATTATAACTTAGAGCAGAGCTGCCAATGATTTGAGGTCATCAAGTTGATGTCCATACAAAAATTACTTTTTACCCTTCCCACCCATATCCACCATCCCCCTGACTTACGTAAGGGGAAAGTAAAGGTAGGTGGCATGGTGTTAGCCACACTATCCTTTCATATGCCAGATACAAGTGTACTCAACTTCATCTGCTCCATGGACTGCCAGGTTTGAAAGGGTAACTAATTTTTATAAACCAAAAAATTGTGCAAAATATTTAAAAAAAGGTCTTTTTGAAATGTGATTACGAGACATGAACTGTCAACAAACTACAGTTTGAAATACAAAACATCATACTAAATATACAAAACAAAACACAATAAAAAATGGAACACAGCAAAACAGCTACCAATTAAAATGCAACACAAGCTACTGAAATACAGAATAATAAATAAAAATTAAAAAAAAAAAAACACAAAAAGCAACAAAACACATCATATCATACTAAAAGTTGAAAAAAATAATAACAACAAAAACACTACACATAAAAAAAATACCAAAACAAAAGCAACAAAAATAAAAAGCACACCTCTAAATCTGACCATGACTTATACAATGACAGTGAATTTTTTTTTTAAGGCATCAGATAAGCATGTTTTAAACTGTGCTCACCAAGTATAATAGATAGATAACAAAGCAAAACACAACATAACAGAAACAAAACACAAATAACAATTACAAATAACTATTTCTAACACTATTTATGACCTGGATGCAAAATGTAATTCATATTTCTGACTTGCATCTTTCCACATGAAAACCATTATTAAGAGAAAAACTAAAAAACAAGTGGAGCCAATAAAGGCAACTATTAAACATGATAAATTTAGAAACAATTTTTCAAGGCATAAAATTTACTTACAATGGGTTTGAAACTCTAGTTGAGTTAAGTTATCCATAAAAGAACATATTCAATTAAGGTAATTAGATTTATTTGGTGAATGTGCAAACATACCCTGTGTTTACTTCTAGAGAATTATGACAAACACCATGTTTGGAATCTGACATTTATTAAGTTTTTAAAATTATTACCAGTACAACATACAAATAATATTTTAACAAAATACATTTGATCATATGTTTAAGAAATAATTAATTAAAACTATTTTGATTTATCTTTACAAAAGTTCTAATAAATATACTTAATAAAGCACATTTTTTTGGAATGTCTTGGCAGTTGAAACTGGTGGATTGTTACCGATTTCCCTTGCTCTATGTAGCAAGCAGATCAAAAATGGTAACTTGAATTTTGCTCTTAATTAAACTTAAAGTTTAATTATTCCAGGTAATTGTGAATGGTTCAAGCAAATCCACTTCCACTAGAAAAATTCTTAGTGCCTGGAGAAGAAATCACAAGGGGGAAAAATGAAGAAACAGTTTTGTAAATTGCCATATAATTATCAGCATACAGGTATTTTGAACTGTTAATATGTTTCCAAACTTTTGTTTGGGTTATTAGAAAATTTTATGCGGTGGAAAAAAATTTAATAAATCTTTACATTTTCAATTAAGATTTTTAAGGTAAGCCTACCATTTGTATTGGTAAAACTAATTAGGCATACCTGTGTATTAGGAAAATATTCATATGTAACTGGTGAGCCATTCAGTGATACTTTTGTTGGGGACTGTAGAACATTACCTACAACAACTTCATCCATTTTTACACCTTGAGGTGGATTATATGCTGATCGCAGTATTACATTTACAAGAGTATCCTGATAAAAGACATTCATAATATTTAAATTTTAAACTAAATCTTTAAAAACACCAATTTTACCATTGATCATATTCTTAAAAATGACAGAAACAAATAGATCTAGATTGTTTCTCTGCTTAATTTTTAAATTTTAAATTATTTTTGTTTACTTTGTTTTTTATTTATAATATTTTGTGTGCATTTTTTACGCTTGTGAATAATTATAATTCCTCCTTAAATTATCTAGTAAAATTTTAAAATTATTATTAAACTTACTCCATGCAAACTGAAGATTATATGGGAAAACACATTTGATGAAATGCTATCTGAAAAAAAATATATATTTATAATATTACTTGGTAGGAAAGATAAAAAAGCTAATAATACCAAGAGAATGAAAAAAGTCTAATGTAGCCATTTAAACCAAATGGTCCATAAGGCAGATGAAAGAGAGCTTATCTGTTTCTCTGGCTCTATACTTTCCCCAGCGTGAATCGGGTGCCTATCAGAGCTAGGTGGACCAGGGCTATCTTATCAAACCAAGGCTTGGCCCAAACTCAAACATTTCTGATTAGTAATCTAATTCTATAGAGACTGTTCGTTTGGGCATAGGTCATACATTGCTATTCCTCCATACGCGAAGGTCACAGTAAGAGTTGATCATACAGTGTCAGTGTAGCATCACATTAAATCCAAAATATTTTTTGGCCCACTAACTTGACTAACCTAAGCTCTCTCCGTCATCCCAAAAAAGTTCTCCCAGTGCATTACCATCAACATCAGGAGCAACAAAAATTTGAAACTTTTCCTGGCGACTTTAAAAAACAAGAAAACATAATTAAGCTTTAAAAAATAATTCAGACATTCAACATTATGTTGTTTCATTAGCTCAGTTACTTACGAAATATCTGTTCTTTGAGCGGCTGGCAGAAGAGGAATTATAGATCCACCACGCACAAGTAAGTTAATCTTTTCCAAAGGTGCATCTAGTGTTATGTAGGTAGTCTTAGCTACTACTACACTGTGATCGTAAAAATCGTACCAGGTGTCATTCGGAATAAAGGCATTCACTTGTCTTGCATTCTAGAAATGACAAAAAAAATTTAACACTTCGTCTTTTCATTTCAAGGTCTGTTGAAAAATTATTCTTTTTTTATTTTTCATTTAATCTATTTTTCAGATTTTTTAAAATAATGGTACTTTTACTTAATTTTACAAATTAGTGAAGGAAGAAGTCTGCAATATAATTATATATTTTTTATAGTGGTTTGTCAAGTCACAATAAAAAAAGACAAGAGTTTTTTTCATTGCCTGCTTTTAATTTTTTTTTTAAATTGGATCATAGGACAAATTTTCATCGACAGCAATCTAATTTGTAAACCAGAGTTTATCATAATTTAATAACTGTTATAAAATATGTGTTATGGTTAGCATTAATAGAAAAAAATTTAAGCATGCTAATTTGTTAAAGAGAGCTCTTCAATGACTGTTGAGCAATATGTGTTATAGTTATTTGTATAGTTAGTAATAGCAAAGAATTTATCAAATTAGTTTGTAAACCAAAGCTGGTATTAAATCAGTATCTGTTAAACAATATCTGCTAAAGTTAGTAGTTATATGCAGTGAATTTCCTACTTCTTCTAGTACAGGTACCACCATCAATGAGTCTCCCAACATGAACTGTTTATCAATGTATTCTGTTCCTTTGTACCTGTTCAGATCAGTGTAAAATCATCATTAATGATTATAACTTGCCAATCATTCTATTTAACTTCAACATTTTCACAAATCCACATTAAAACATACTTCTCTGTAAATTAATTGAAAAACAGGCCAGTATTTGTATTAAGTTTTGGATAATTGTGACTTGGTTTTAAAAATCTTTTAAAAGATCAAATCTAGATATTATGAGGCAATAAACTTCTTTTTGTTATCAAAATCTAACCAAGTGGAAAGTTATTATTTTTAGTGCCTATACACAGAGAAATTCAAAGTAAACTACCTGTAAAACAAAGGTCGGACAACAGGATGACCATCAACATGTGCTCTGAAGAAAGCAGTGTAGAGAACAGCTAGAAGTGTGTAGCGCAGCTGTAGAGCTTGACGTATGTAGCTTTTGTAAGGCTCAGGGAAGATGGCAGGGTCATGGAACTACAATACAAATTTTACATAGTGACATAACTATATTATCTTACATTAGTGCAGGTATTAACGGCAGATGATTGACTTAAATGTTTGATTATCCATGTAACTAAAAACTAAGTGCCAACAAAAGTACCGTTATAGCGTGGTTTCTCATGAATGGGTAAAAAGCTCCAAGCTGATGCCACCTGGTACACAGTTCTGGAGTTGGTGTACCCCAAAATCCACAAATATCAGCTCCAACAAAAGGAACTCCCAGGAGATTAAAGTTTAAAATTGCTGAAAATAAATTTAAAAATATGCAAACATACACCCTGAATTGAGGCCAGCTAGCACATGAGGTATATATAATAGCTATGTGTGGCCAGCACAATGCTGTGCTGTATTTTATGTCTTTCATCAGATATTCCCCACAGCTCAAAGCCATCTCAACTCAGTACATGAGCCATTAGTGCTCTACTGCACATCATCTGTTTATACAAATCAAGAATTTAAATACTCATCCAGAGGGGCTTATTCTGTGATCAAAGATACATTATCAGACTTTGAATAAAATATAGATTACGTTTAGTTTCATATTAATTTTATAGAAAAACATGATGAATGAGAATACATAGTAGAATGCACAATCTGAGATATTCAGGTTGTTATGAAGTGCCTGTCGACTCAGCTCTGATGGGAACCTGTTCAGTAAGATTGCTGGGGATACTGCTGGCCACACAATTCTTTTATATACACCTACTGGTACACAAATAATAAATCCACTGACCAGGAATTGAATAATACATATCAGTGAACAGTGCACTATTGTCTCCCATCCAATGGCCGGTAAATCTTCCGCTACTTGCAAATGTTGATCTACTTATCATTGGCGTTCTTTTGTTAGGAAATAGAGTGTGTAGAACACTGGAACAAAGAAAAAGCTAGTTTGGATTTGTGTTGTACACTTAGTGAAGTTAAAGATATAAAATTACTTGCTAAGTTATACCACATTTTAAAAAATGTATGTTTTGATATAATTTTGTTCACTTAAAAAATATATAATAGTAATCCTATTATTAAGACTTATGAAATAGCAGCACTCCTAACAAAGTATGAGATTAATTAGCAATGCTAACAAGGTAAAGATTGAAAAGCAATGCTAACAAGGTATGAGATTAATTAGCAATGCTAACAAGGTATAAGATTAAATGGTACCAATGCCAACAAGGTATGAGATTAATTAGCAATGCTAACAATGTATGGGATTAAACTCACGATCTGGTGATGTTGGATTCTGACCAACCAAATAAGTTGTGGAGATTGTAGTGTGTTGATATTGCATGCTTGGCAGAGGGACAAACCGTATGTATAAAAAGACTTCCACCATCTAAAGCTAGTTTAGACAATACAAGTTCAAGTTAAATGCAGAACGTTGTAAAAACTGTACTTAAAAGACACTTCTATCATTTATCAGTATTTACTTGCAGGGATGTACGGTGGGTTATCTAACAAAGTCTGTGGACACCCATGGATAGAGCCATTAGCATATAAATTTGAAGGTTCATTCATGTCCTGTAAATAAACACATTATTCTATGTATATGTGTAGCTACAGTAAAACTGAAAATAATAAGTACCATCATTTAAACTGTAATATTTTATGAAAATAAAAATTCACTTTAACTTTAAGAATAGGCATGAAAAATGTCTATCTATAGTTTGACTAAATGGGAGGCATTGTTGTGTGCAAAAAAAAGTTCATGCATGTTACCAGCCACAATCCATCAAATGCCAGTTGTTTGTGAAAGTCTTGAGCTTGCTTGTACCAGTAAAAAAAGGCTAGTGGGTGAAAAAAATCTGGAAAGGCAACCAACCCAGAATACAGCTGCAAGTGCAAAAATAGAAACAAATTATTTATCTTATGGATCAATACCAGTGGTGTGCTGTTTGTTACTTAGTACCTTAGAATCTCAAATAATACAAGATATTAAATTTTGAGAAATTAGTAGGCTATATAATGTATTAGCGAAGTGGAGAATATGAAATCTATCCCATCTTTTGTGGATTTGAAGCTTGAAGGGAAATCCCAAAGCTCTCCACTGTACAATACTAAACATACAAAATATAATCCCTAATAAGTACTTACTTTTCCAATCAAAATTTCATTGCTAGCATTTTTCACAAAGATGTCCATTTTCTGTACAATACTACTGCAAACTAAACATACAAAATATAATCCCTAATAAGTACTTACTTTTCCAATCAAAATTTCATTGCTAGCATTTTTCACAAAGATGTCCATTTTCTGTACAATACTACTGCAAACTAAACATACAAAATATAATCCCTAATAAGTACTTACTTTTCCAATCAAAATTTCATTGCTAGCATTTTTCACAAAGATGTCCATTTTCTGTCCATCATCAAAGGGTGGGTATGTCCCAGCTGGCTGCTCTACAGATACAGCGGGGTCCTTAAAATGTATTAAAACTAGCACAGTAAATACCCTCCATGTTTTATTAGTTTCTTTCACTATATAAAATAATTCACTTTTGAGTATGTGAGGTTTTATAAATTGAATAGCTTTTAATACTTTTATAACAGAAAATAGTTTTCACATACTATAATTATAATATATCGCTGTTGATTGTTGTGCAAATCTTCAATGACACTTGGCAAATCACCATAGTTTTCTTGATCATAGGTCCAGTCCTTTGATGCATTCATGTAATCTATATCACCCCACTGTATATCCTGAAAAAAAAATTAAATCATTATACCAAAAATAGTTAACCCTATATAAATGGGGAAAAAATTAAATCTGTGCAAATATTTTTTTAGATATAATGTTTTTAAAGTCTTACATATGGCATCTCAGCTTCTCTGTTCCTTTTAATGACATCCTTAAGCACAGTGGTGTTGGCTATTCCATATTTGCAAAGGTGGAACCCTAAGGACCAAAATGGCGGCAAGTATGGTCGCCCAATGATGTCAGTGTACTGGGCAGAGACAGCTAATGGACTAGGGCCCATCATGATGAAGAAATCTAAGACTCCTCCTAAAGCCCTGAATGTTATAGCACCACTCTGCATTGGACCATATGGTTGTAGCGCCACTTCTGAAGATGAGAAAATGTTTTCCAAATTTATTTATAATTCTTGTCAAACTAAATCACTTGAATCTTCTTCAAATGTGTTTATTTTGTTCAAAATTACAAATTAAATTAATATAAAAACACATACTATTTACTGCTAGAAATATAAATTTTGGTATTATTGTATAAGTAAGCCTACTATAATACGATTTTAAAGTTTTAAATCATGTGACAATTATTTTTTTTTTAAATGGTAACAGCTGCTCCAAAAAATTTCACCTGACCTCCTGCATTGCTGTTGAATAAGAATACACCATGTGCATCATATGGACCATCTTGAGAACCGCTGGACTGCTCTAAGTTCAAGAAAAATGGATGAGTTCCATACCCATTGTTATCTACCTGTAAAAATAAACATAAAATATGAAACAGTGTCTCGATATAGTTAACTTATTCTAAACAATTAAAAAGCAAAGCAGTAATAAAAAAAATGTATCACATCACTTACAACATTCTTAAGTATTTTTCTGTATTTTAAAAGTCAACTTAATTCAACGAATCAAAAGATGTGAAATGGCCGAACCTTGGGCACATCATCTCTGTTCCAAAAAGCAACTCTCTTCCATGTTGTTAACATCTGTATAAACGAGGAGCGATGTTCACCGAGGCCATACAGATAGCTCGTGGAAAGCTTGGTGGCAATTTGCAGAAACTGATCTGAAAAAATTAGCGGTGCTGTTCCTGTGGTATCAAATCTGGGGGCAAAAAGTGTTGTAGGTGTGTCATTTCATTTTTTTTTCAATAGCGTAAAATGTGTTATTTAAAAATTGGAAATATACCATCAGTCAATAATGACAGTTTTTATTTGTTTTTTTCGGAATTTTAACACCATCTCCCATTCTAAAAATAAAAAGACGTCCTTTCCAGCCTCTTAAAAAATAAATTTAAAATTATTTTAACATAACCATTTCTAAACCATGAATTGATATTTCCCTTATAATGGGATAAAACCAATAGAAGACAAAAGCTACTTCAAATAACTTTTTTCCGCTATTCTTCAGATGCGTAGCGACCCTTCCCGGCGCCCGGGGACAAACTTTCGATTTGCACCCCCTTCAACCTTTCAATTTATTTTTCCAACCCATTTGGTACATGTGTCGCCCCCCCCCCCCCTCGCTACGCCTCTGCTATTCTTAGGTTGATTTGCGAAGGACATCCATATTCACTAAAATTGTTCAGCATAGAAAATTTTAGAAAACCATTCCAAGATCAAGTAGATCTATTCTATAGGCTCTGTTGATAAATTTTTGTGACGATTTTAAACACAACTTCTTCCGAAGCTTTTTTTTTTAAAGCCTACAAATTAGTACAATTTCAGTGAAAATTAGCTATTAAAATGCAAGTAGGAGAATCCTTTTTACTACAGTGTATGGAGGAAATATTGTAAGTAATCGTGCACAAAAATCATATGAAATTTTGAGTTTTCACCTTTTTACACCTCAGTACTTCATCATAATATATGCACTGTGTATGCGGTAGGCCTATGTGTGACTTATTTTAATCGGGCATAAACTTTAAATCCAGATTTATCAAAATCTCGGCATTTTACGCGTCACCGAGTCGGAAAAACTTAATTTTGCAATCTTGTCTGTACGTCTGTGTGTGTTTGTGTCTGTAAATACGATAACTTGAGTACCGCTAAAGCTAGGTTAAAGAAATTTTATATATAAGTATTACATCAAATTTATAGCTTTGTTTCAACTTTTCAGCTATTTCCGGTAACCGGAAGTATAATTGATTCAACTTTCGGTTTTTCAAAAGCCTATAACTTGAGTAGTTTGTGATAGATAGAGGACATTTCTGTCAAATTTTGAGTGATTTCCGATGACCGGAAGTAGTCTTCTGTTGCACAATTTTCTGGTCACTATTTTAGCATTAATTAGAAGTTTTGAAAACCAAAAATAAACTTCTTTAAATTAAACGAGATAATTTCTGAAAGTATATTACATTGTAGCCCCTGTTGATGTCCTAGACACCACAATATTGAAAGGTTGTTTCTGTATGCTGACTGTGTACAGAGGATTCTGCACATTGATAGAGCCTGTTGGAACATCCAGGGGAACTTCATATCTTGTGTGGCTTGGATCGTAGAACTAAAAAAAAGTTAACAATCAGATTGTATCGTATTTATGGGATTTTTTTCATTGATACTCGTTGAAGAAAATTAAAAAAAAAAATAAAGTAGCATTATCCCCGTAAATCCACTATTGCAATAAGCTGTAGTCCTATCCTAGTTTGGTGATTCTTTAGTAGCCTACCTTATTAAAAAGAATTTCACTCGAGCAATTGTGAACCATTGGCCCATGGACTTTACATGACGTTATTTTTTAAAGTGCTATAGTTAAGAAGTTAAAGTTAAACGAAAATATATTTAGAAATTTCCTTGGTTCTATTATAAGAATTACCGTGGTTCTATATTTAGAAATACCGTGATTCTATAATCAGAATTACCGTGATTCTATAATTAGAATTACCTTGATTCTCAGTCGAGACTCCGTTTGGTAGTCAACTCTTAGCTTTAAGACTTTGACGTCGGGGGAGTAAAAGCTGGCAGTCGATCTGACGAGCGTTGCATCTATACCTTCCGCCGTCATAGTCACCTCTGTCGCGGTGTATCCATTATAGTCTGACGGATAAAAACAGTTGGGGGCAGTATCAGGGAACGTTGCTTGCTTCCAACAGCACCCTCTCCTGCTACATGCCTCTTCAGTGGAGCCGCTCCTGTCAGGCCAGCAGTCGAACCTGTTGTTTTCTTCTATGCTGCATTGATCAGCTGCATGAGTGAGTGAAATCACGAACAACAAAACTAACAAACAACAAACTGTTTGTAAGATGAATTTTCGTGCGAACATCTTACTAGAATGTTGCAGTTACGTCACTGGAATCTGCCTACAAGTAATTCCAGCTACACTAGAGATATAATTGTTGGTTCTTAATCCAACATATCAACGTCTCAAGATGCAGTGAAATGAATTAATACCTAAAGTACTGAAAGAAATACTCTAACTTACTTAAAGTATTTTATCTACATCTAAATAGCCTAAATAAAAGAAAAGCAATTGTTTTATCAGCATGTAAGATGGTGGTATATGTTATCTCATTTTAAAATGGTATCAATTTAAGATACATTGAAATAGGGTTTAGAAAATGTGTTGTTACAACCAGTGGCGTCGCGAGGTCGGGTATCACCCGGTGCAGGACCTCATGGTGTCACCCCCCCCCCCCCAGAAACAACCTATTTTATATATATATATATATATATATATATATATATATATATATATATATATATATATATATATATTGTAGTGAATTTGTTGGAAATCAGTCAATTGTGCTTAGTAGGGCAAGAAGAAAAATTCATATCTTAATAAATAGTTATTATTATAGCCTGAAAATTGGAAGAACTATTAGGCCAAGCTTGATCTTTAATTAGAATATCTTTGTGTTAGTTAGGAGCAAGCCGATATTATGGAAATCTACTTTAATTAGGTGTATTTGATGATAGTTTTACAATATTTGCATGTTTGAAGTGTTATTGTTGAAGAACAACTTATTGATGTTTATTGTAATTTGTATCATTGTAAAGGGAATTGTCTGTGGTTTCAGAGATAAGCTTATTAGAATTTTAGGAGATCGCGTTAAGTTTTTATATAGGGTTAATTGGGGTCGGTTAGCACAAAAGCGGGGGAAATTTTCACAGGTAAGCGTTAGAATTCGTGCCAAGAGCAAGGTGTCATCCGAGACGCTCGCGGGTGGGGTATATAAGCCGGTGCGTTAGCCTTAGAGGGGATGGAGAAACGACGGCCCTAGCCAGTAATTTATGCAGCACACGTATTCGCGCTATAGTCTTGTTAGATGCGCGCTACACAGACAATTCCCGCTCAAGAAAGATAGTCAAATAAAGATTTGCAGAAGACGGCTTATTCTTCATTCTTGATCGTCTGTGACTGTGACTGAGAGTGAGAAATAGAAGAGAAGAAGAACGTTGCAATTGATAGAAGCAAGAATATTACAATAGAACAGTACATTTGAGAGTAGTAAAAACGTTACATTTGGTGGCAGCGAAAGAAACGATCTTTAACACGCAACCAGAGAGACTGAAAGCAGGCTAGTTAATACAGAGGACAAAAATGGCAGAGATTGAACTACAGGCTCAAATAAGAAACCTGCAAGAAACGATTAAAGAACTCAGAATCGCTAGACAAGATGAGCGACCATTAAGTATGAACCAGGCGTTACCACAATACGACGGGTCAGCGCCATTCCAAGTGTTTTGGAACAAGTTTCAAGCGATATCTCGCATTAACAGCTGGAATGAAGATAGACAGCTACTGCATCTACCAGCTTGTTTGGAGGGGAGTGCGGCCAACTTTGCATTTCTTGAACTCACTCAAGTTGACCGAGCAACACTTGGAACGTTTGTCGCAGCACTGAGCGCTAGATTTGACACCAGGGTGGGCACCGCTACACATCTGACCCAGTTAGAGAATAGAAAGATGTCAGCAAGGGAGACAACCGCTGAATATACGTCCGATGTGAAACGACTGACGGCCATGGCTTTCCCGTCAGCTGACCAAGCAACTAAAGCAACAGTTGCACTGCGTTATTTTCTCAAGGGGCTACAAGATCCTCACCTCGCGGGTATCATTGCCGCCCAACGCCCAGTTAGCACAGATGAGGCCAGAAACATTCTGGACGAATACCTCAGTGCTAGAGACTGCACAACAAAAACGAAAATGTGTTCGGTGCAGGAGCAGAGCCAGATAGATAGCCTACAGCAGGAGGTGAAAAGACTACAAGAGATGGTCAGTAATCAACGTAGGCCCAGCGACTCGGGATGCTACACTTGTGGGGGCAGACATTTGGCTAGGAATTGCCCAAGAAATAGTAGATTTCAAGAAATAAACCAACGTCGGTCAACTAATAGAAACAATTATCAAGCCCGGCCGACCCAAGCTACAGCCAGAATAAATGAAATCCGACAGAATGATACAGATAACAATGATGAAAATCTTTTAGGCCTTAACTTTCTGAAAGTAAAAGCCGCGGCAAGCAACAAGCAAGTGGACGTGCCAACAGAGATTTCAATCCGTAGTGTTGCCCCTGGGTGTTCAGTAGTGGTGACTGTAACGGTAGCAAGACACAATATGATGTTTCTGGTAGACACGGGCGCTGCTGTCACTGTCATGTCCACAAGAGCCTTCAACAAGTTACCACAAGCCATTAGAAACAAACTTAAACCCATGGACAGAAAGGTCACACTGCAATCTGCAGGGGGTGACAGAATAAACTGTCTAGGCACATGTACAGTAGATATGAGAGCTGGCAATGTTGTCACAAGGTGGACAACAGTCATAGCTGACATTGAGGAAGATGGTTTCTTGGGGATGGACTTCCTAATGAAACATGAGTTTCAATTTTCGGCTAAAAAGGGCTTATACCTCAATGGTAGAAGAGTCCCAACACAGACCAGAAGCAGAGAAAAGATGTTCAAAGTAGAAGACCAAAGATGGCGGTCCAACTTCTACAACTTTAATGACGCAGTTCCAAGAAGCACACAAAATACACATAGAGTGGCACCAGTTGCCGCAATATTGAAAGCTTCTATTACAGACCAGAAACATGATCGATTCTATCTGCGGAAGGGTCTACAGTTCTCCCAGCAGGAAATTCAGAAGGCTCAAAAGGATGATAATGTTTTGAAGAAGTGTATTACCTGGGTGCAGAACGAACAGAGACCTGAACAGAGGGAGTTAACCGCAGAAGGCCGGGAACTCCGCTATTACTGGCTGAATTTTAACAGACTGACATTTGCAGAGGGGATATTATGCTGGAAGTGGGTGACAAAAGAACGGAAGACAGAACTAAAGGTGATAGTGCCACATCTCCTAATGTCTAAGGTTCTAGACAAGTGTCACAATAATAAGGGTGCCAGACATGTTGACATTCAAAACACATTAGCCAAGGTACAAGAATATTATTTTTGGTTTAGAATGAAACATGAGGTCACCAACTGGGTGAACTGTTGCGAGAGATGTCAAGTTAGGCAACAACCTGTCGAGAAGACAGGAGGCCTACACGAGAGGAACAAAAGATACTACGACCTCAACATTGTCTCCAATGACTACAATGTTGGAGATGTAGTGTTGTGTCTGGAGGAGGCAAGGAAAGTAGGCGTGAGTAGGAAGCTGGCTCCCAGACACTGGAAAGGTCCATACGTCATAAGAAGAAAACTAAGTGACCTTCTCTTTGAGATAGAGAACAAGGACAAAAAGACAAAAGTCGTGCACCACGACAAATTAAAACCATTTCACCAACGGGAACCAACGAAATGGATCGTTGACTTACAACTCAAACTTCATCCCGATGGTGGTTCACCTCAACTGTCGGAATACTTAACGGACGATGAGACAGGCGACGAAGGTCAAGACACAGAGAGTCAGCTGTCGGAGAGAGGAAATGATCACGGGGTTGATGAAACAGGCCCAAAACTAACTATTACTACACACAACGACGCAAGGGGAAATACAAGACCCCGACGAGAAATCAAACGACCTCGTCGACTGTTGGATTAACAAAAATAGAGCCTGTTAAATTGATAACTATAGACTGTGTGCTGGATTATTTGGATAACGTGTGAATTCTTAAAATAGTGTTCTAAATTACTTAAATATCGTGTGAATTCTTAAATAATGATCTGGATTATTAAGATACCTTGTGAATTTTTGTAAAATCGGGTGTTTTTCATTACATTCCTGGATGTGAATGTATTCCAACGAAATGTAAGTAGATACAGTTTAACTTTGTGCTAGGACCAATATAGAAGATTTAGAACCATTACAATTATGCTCATGGTTTGGTCTGTGAACATACCACAGGAACATTGAAATTATAAGATGTACAGATCTAACCAGAAGGAACGTAGACATTACAAATGCAAAACAAGACTGTATAATAACTTCATGTTAATCGATATTACAATGGAGCCAGTTTCTGGTTGTTGTTGTTTTTTTATTTGATCATTATGTTGCATTTTGATAATTATAATGGATGTTTATGATGTATCACATTTATGAAGATGTGATTTAAGATGTTGAATATACAAAACCTTTAATAAATTAAATCAATTTTGAGGACAAAATTCTTAACTTTGGTAGGGTCAAATGTAGTGAATTTGTTAGAAATCAGTCAATTGTGCTTAGTAGGGCAAGAAGAAAAATTCATATCTTAATAAATAGTTATTATTATAGCCTGAAAATTGGAAGAACTATTAGGCCAAGCTTGATCTTTAATTAGAATATCTTTGTGTTAGTTAGGAGCAAGCCGATATTATGGAAATCTACTTTAATTAGGTGTATTTGATGATAGTTTTACAATATTTGCATGTTTGAAGTGTTATTGTTGAAGAACAACTTATTGATGTTTATTGTAATTTGTATCATTGTAAAGGGAATTGTCTGTGGTTTCAGAGATAAGCTTATTAGAATTTTAGGAGATCGCGTTAAGTTTTTATATAGGGTTAATTGGGGTCGGTTAGCACAAAAGCGGGGGAAATTTTCACAGGTAAGCGTTAGAATTCGTGCCAAGAGCAAGGTGTCATCCGAGACGCTCGCGGGTGGGGTATATAAGCCGGTGCGTTAGCCTTAGAGGGGATGGAGAAACGACGGCCCTAGCCAGTAATTTATGCAGCACACGTATTCGCGCTATAGTCTTGTTAGATGCGCGCTACACAGACAATTCCCGCTCAAGAAAGATAGTCAAATAAAGATTTGCAGAAGACGGCTTATTCTTCATTCTTGATCGTCTGTGACTGTGACTGAGAGTGAGAAATAGAAGAGAAGAAGAACGTTGCAATTGATAGAAGCAAGAATATTACAATAGAACAGTACATTTGAGAGTAGTAAAAACGTTACAATATATATATATATATATATATATATACATACATACATACATAAATATATTGTTACATTTGGTCTCTTCGCCTTCCCATTTTGCCAAATGGCATTAATTAATTGAACTGGGAAAAAGCATTTTGTTCTATATAT